GTATTGTAAAATAGTTTTTTTATATGTTGCACACCGGGTGAAAAGTCAGTCGTGTAACATCGACGGTCGCTCCTGTAAGGTTGTAGCACGTGGCGTGTAACCCTGACCAATTCTTCGATCCGTTGACCCTTGTCAACATGCAATATAGAAACGCCTATTATGCAATAAAATTTTTTTGTTTTATAAATTTCTGTTCTTGAGTTTATTTTTTTATACACATAATTTTCTCTTTTATTAGTTTTGCCATCCTTTACGTCAGTTTCGTCATCTTTCATCAGTTTCGTCACCTTTCGTCAGTTTCATCATTTCGTCATTTAAGATTTTAATTTAATTTATGTTACTATAAAAAAATTAAAAAAAAAACGAAAATACTTATTGATTATGTACATCGCAAGAACTAATTATACTACCAGAATCATCTACTGTATAATGTCTTTGTTGTCCAAAATGTCTTTATTGTCAGAAACCTTCTTAAAGTCTAAATTTTCTTAATACTCTAATTCCCTATTGTACCCTTTTAGCTTAATCTGAACAGAGTTTTTTTCCCTTACTCCGTATCACAACTCTAAAAATTTCCCATTTATCAATTTCGACTTTTCCGCATTTTCAACTCAGTGGGATCTGCTTCTTTCGTTAGCGTTATACTGAATTTGGTCTGGGTAGTGGCGTAGATCCCTTTGGTACTGTGGAGCAAGAAGTACCATTCGGTCGCCGTAGTGGTGATCCCGTATACATAATCGAAATCAGTGTTAACCTTATCTAGGTTTGTCTTAACATAAAAGTTAATATATGAAAAAAACATTTAGACAAAACTACTGGCGCAAATTTCACGTAGTGAAAAATGTAGAAATCGCCAATATATTTGATAAGTCAATATACGCTCACATGTATTGCATTATATTTTGGGCCATTCCAATACCCGGTAGGTTTTGCTTGGTAATAGACCCAGGATGAAGCGGTTGAGACAATGTTCCGGAAATTATTAAGAGCTTTCGGTGGTTGTTTTTTTTGATCGCATAGTCAACACGGTCGACGTTTTTCAAGTCCTGTTAGTTTCTGTTATTATTGTTGACGCCAACTGTTGTCATTATTATTAATGTTATTTTCATTATCCTCGTTGTCTCGTTGCTTCCATTACTCTCCTAAGCCTGCGGTACGAAGAGAACAGATTTTTTTGAGAAGTTTTTCAAAATAATTTATTTGCTTATATTGTTTTGAAAGTTTTATAAGATAATTATACGTATTTATAGACTCATCAGAATACAGATTTAACAGTGTAAACAAACTTTTTGTGTTACCTTATTTTTTATTTCAGTATTCAGGTATTGTACCTCGTGCATAAACTGTACCGTAAATCACCGTACAGGAGCGACCATCGATGTTACACGACTGGTTTTTCACGCGGTGTGAAACACATAAAAAAATTATTTTACAATACTTGATCAGTCAGTTAGTACATGTTATGATTATAATCCCACACCATTTTTTATTATAAAAAAATGGTGTGGGATTATAATCATAACATGTACTAACTGACCGATCAAGTAGTGTAAAATAATTTTTTTATGTGTTTCACACCGTGTGAAAAATCAGTCGTGTAACATCGACGGTCACTCCTGTAAAACTAACCTCTGAAATTATCGTCTTAGTGAAAGTCCGATATGTTGATCTGATAAATAATCAATAAAAACGAATGCACCCTTTTCCCTTGGTGTCACTCATATGTAAATCATCTTTTGCTCTTTATTCGAAGTTTCATATGGGCTAATCAGATACATTTTTATAATGTGAATTCTGAATTGCACATTAATTTTTTAAATCAAACCAATCAATTTGCTTTCTCTCTATAAAAAAAGTCGATCCGTGTTTTATATTCCATGTTTTTTCCGTAAATGTTGCACATTCACGGAATTTATAACCTTAAATTATGGAAATTATTCGGCTTGTCTAGATTTTGTCGATCATGTTGCAGATTCACGGAGTTTTCACAAAAAATATGGGGAAATATTCGGATAAAGTTTCTTATAGGGTCTATAAATAAACCATATTTATTATTTTGAAGTCGCGGATCGATTGCGGATCGATTGTGACCAATCAAATTTTGATCAATTTTGAATTATCACAAAAAACAGGTTTTTTCTAGGTTGTCACAATTTACATCCAATTAATTATTCTAAAAATAATTATTTTTTATTATGTCACGATTTTGTCACATAAAATTGACCGACATATGCGTCAAATTAGCCCATATGTATTAAATAAATGTCGAATCAGTAAAGTAAAACGATGGGTTACATATGAATAAGAACCGGCATTCTGGTCTATAGATGCTGGTGAAATTAATTTCACCAATTTCACCAATTCACCATCAATTCACCAATAGTGGTGAAATTATTTCACCACATTTCACCATATTTCACCAGCATCTATACTCTGGTCTAAGCTTTTCCGAATTAGCCCGACCGGAAAGTCCCGAACGGTGATTTTCCTGCAGTGTTTATTTTTCATGTGCACAAAAGTGTGGCATGTTTGCGGATCTAATCTAAATTTTAAATAAACCAATTTGATTAGATCCGCACACGCATATAACTTCCAGATTTAGTATTGGTATTATATTATTTAAATTGGACCATCTTTGCTTTTTTATTGTTGATTACAAACCAATAATGCAATAGAATCGTCCCTATTTTCATTATTCCTGGGACACTTGATAAAAAATTAGCCGAATGAATTTTCGGCCGATCCGGCTAAATTATTTTTCGGCATAATAAATTCAATAAAAATTGAGTAATATACGTAATTTAAAATCAGGTTGATAATATAAATATAAAATTATGCACATCTCTTGTTGAATTCAAAAAATATGATACTTTCAACTACATTCGCTAGCAAATTATTGAAAAAAAATTAGAAGGCCTATCAACTCAAAAAATTTCAAAACACTTAGGTGTTAGCACGTCTTCTATAAGTCGGGTTCTTGTACATTTTCAAAGATATGGTTGTATTGAAAAACTTCCATCGTTTTCAGGAAAACTATGTTCTTTAAACATGAATTATATATAAACTATCTTTAAGTTTTAATGAAAGAAAAACCTGACTGGTGCTTGTTTGAATTACAATCCGAGATGAAACTTTGGTTGGGACGTAAGATTAGTCTTACAATTTTGAGGGCTATACACCGACTTGGATATACGCACAAAAAGGTAATATTTCATATATTTATACTTGTTTTTATTTTATAAACTTTTAACAATTTTATGAAAGGCTCTTTTGTATTAATAGCTTCTGATTCAGGTTCTTTCATGTTGATAATATCCAATTTAGGATCTTTTTCACTATTAATTTCTGAATCAGTTCGGTCACTTCAAACAAGTCAGATAACTCAAAAGTATTTGTTGCGGATGATAAAGATTCTAGGGAATCTTTAATTGTTAGATCTACTATTTCACTTTGATTTTGTTGATCATAATTTTTAACTCATTTTTGATAAATATTAATTAGTCTTGATTTTTTGGAATCTCGACTTTAGTTGAATTTTTAGTCCAATCGACGAATTCTCGATCGCATCTAACTTTTTTAATATTAGCATCTATTCGTGTAATATATTTATTATAAAAGCTAATTTGATATCCGGAGCCTTTTTTATATTTCTTGTCAAGTTTTATTGGCTGGCAAGAACAATCTTTCTCATAAACTTTCGCATAAATTAAACACACCAAGCATATTGGGCAAGCGTTAAACGAAATTTTAACAACATTGACATTATAATAATAAAATAATTTGTAAAACAAGCATTATATTTATTATAAAATTGGACCAACGATATAATTTAATTTATGACATGGATATTATATCGATATTACAGTAAATAAAAATTGGATAAATTAAAATTATATTTATTATATACTGATCAGCCGAAAAAATAACTTAACCGGATCAGCCGAAAATCATTTGGCTAATTTTTTATAGGTTTCCCAGGAATAATAAAAACAGCTGTAAAAAGTTGGACCGGCCTGCGGTCCAGGACCGATTAGTATGAGACTGGACGGACTGATCATTAGGCTACATAAGTTGCATCAACATATTGTATTACCTTTTATTATTATAAAATCCATTCAAATTATTAGTTTATTACTTGATTTATTAAATAAAAGGTACCTCTAACCGAATATTTAAAACTGTCTATTATTATTTTGGTGATGAAATGCGCATGAATTTTGAGAATCATGTATATAATATTTGTAGGTATATTTTTAATGAACTTGTAGTGTAAGTATATCTAGACAATAATTTTAATTAATATATCAAATTTGTATATCTAATTCTTGCTTTAAAAAAACTAATTATTATAATAAAATAAGAAAAAACCCTTTAAAATTTTTAAATTTTTATCATTATTTAAATCTCTATAAATTAACCCAATAGAGTACACATATATATGATAGTAATGTGTAGCTTTTCCAAAATCACTTACAAACATATTAATACTGTATTGTAACGATTTGGTGCAAGACTTTTATTTAAACACCTAACTAAATTAGTATCGCGATTGAAAAAGTCACTATATGAAGTTGGAATATTCTATACATATTGGTTTAATCATGCATGCACCTGATTTACGCTAAAGAAATTTAGTTTTTTCAAATTCAGAACAATTATATGTAAGCACCAAACATGTAATTAAGTATTCACTGCTTAGCATATGACTTTAAATCAACTCAATAAAAAATTTTCACACGACTATAATACCAAGAACAGAGTGTAACGAAGTGCATAGTTATACTGTATGGCAAGTGAAAGGGTGTATCCGAATTCATGAATTTGATTGGATTGCGTTTTGTTGTGTTATGATATATTTGTCAGTTTTTTCTGACAGGACGTACGTACGTTTATACATACTGAACAAATATTTATTATAATATGTCTTTATTAGTAAAAAAATTTTTTTAATCCCGAATTTATATCGTATATTTAAAATTACTTACAGTTTAAGTTATTAACCGGTTAATTTATTCATTACAGCCTATATACCATATGTGAATATTGCATAAAGACTAACAATTAGACAAGATTACAACCCAGTACAACTAACTCGTTTTTAATTCGCCTTTTTTCATCTTTTACTTAAAATAGTTAGCGTATACGATGATTCTATAAGTCGATTTTGTCTTTCTAGTTGCAACAAAGTCATTAAGCTTTATAATTTTTACATTATATCTTCGACATTTTGTAGAGAAATAACTTCTTGCTAAATAAAGTGTGTTTATTATCACACAAATATGGTAATCATTTGAGCGAAGGTATTTCTAAATACATATAAAATATCACTAAATTCTTATTAAAACTACCTTGATCTGTTTACATCTTTGCTAAAGCTTGTTGAGAAATATTATTTGTATTGTTCGATAAATGATTTCTCTTGAGAAAAATGCTATATAAAGAATAAGCATCGTATCAGAATATTAAGTAATCAAAGTGTGTATTTATCATCGCACAAATATGTATTTTGTAACCCGTAACCACATACCTTCATATGTGAGTGCTGCCAAGGCAAAACCTGTAAGCAAATATTTGAGGTATCAATAAGGCGAGTTTAATCCTGGGAAAATTGTGACATTACGTATTAAATCATTGTATAGAATTTTTATACAATGTTAATACATAATATTTTCCAAGGATTAAACTTGTTTTATTTATACTACAAATATTTGCTTACAGATTTTGTCTGGGCAGCGCTCATGTTATGTAATCAAGTCTGTATAA